GACACAGGGCAAGCAGCAGAACTTCAGCACTCCCCCCGCGCCCCCTTGTTTTTGGGGGGGGGGGGGGGAGATATTGTATGCGTACAAGCGTCTCAAAAGGCAGAAGGTCCCCTACATGCGCGAGAATTTTTTAGTTTAACCCCCCCCCCGCCCTCTCCCCCCCTCCACTCAGGTGCCCGAAAGTCACCCTTTTATTACAACGCTTGGCAATTTGAGTGACCCCCCCCCCCTCCCATACGTACCCTCTCATTTTGCGTAGATGCCTGGCGTCCCTTCGCGAGGGGCTCAAGAAGAGGAGGAACAAGGGGGATGGGGGAAGTGACAGCGACGACGGTGACGCTGCCGACAAGGGCGACAACGTCGGTGACGACGAGACTGTCAGCGAGACTGTCAGCGAGACTGTCAGCGAGACTGTCAGCGACGAGGACATCTGCGCGTGGTGCTGGGAAAGCGAGGACAAGAAGCTTTTTCTCTGCGACGGGGAAGGCTGCGGGAGGTGTGCGCCCGCATGAGCGTGTGTGTTTTTTTTCAGGATTGTGTCTAGGCGGTACCGTTTTTTTGGGCGGACACAGGCGGGGCGGTATTGCAATACGGTGGTACTTTTCGGCGGTATGCGGTTTTCCGTTTTTCGACGGTACCGCAGTATCCGGCGCTACATTTTTTCCTGTAGTTGCAATACCGCCAGTTCCGGGACCGTCAACCAAGGCGGGAAGAAAATGTCGGGAAAATTCCCGGCATCAACCGTGTTGTTTTTCGCTTGCATCGGCCGCGCTGTAGCCGGCTGGAAATCGCACCAGTCTTGTAGCAAGTGCCGAGAAATGATACTCCGACTGTATGTATGGTATGTCTCAACCTTTTTGACGTTTCCGCTGCTTGCTTGCCCTTCAAACCGACGGGGGTTGCGGTCGTATTCGTGTGATGTGAAATGCGATCGGTCGGTCCTCAGGGCGTTCTGTGACTGCTGCCTCGACAAGCTTGGCGAGGGCACCGCGGCTGAGGTGGAAGCATCGGACGAGGTGTGGCTGTGCCCGTGCTGCGACGAGGGCCCCCTGGCTCCTCTACAGGTGAAACCGACTGACACGCACTTTCGGAACGTTGGCCTTTAGGTCCGTTGTCATGTGTTTGTAGATAATGTACTTGCAAATACTTGCAAACAAGGATTTTACCCGCACGAGATAATACCACAGTCGAACGGGATGTGTTCAAGTCTATAGTTACAGTGAGTGTTGGTTTGTTCAAGTTTCGACAAAGACAAGTGCAGGGTATGAATTCACGCCATCTTTGGACCACATTTCTCTGGGTGTGCTTCCCATCGAGATCGGACAGACACCTTTGCCTTACTTGGAAAACCCGTTTTTCGTTCGTGCAGCGGAAGCTTAAGCGTAACCTCGCCTCTCGGCACCCCGTCCCTCGACAATCAGCTCGGGCAGCACACCCTAGTGCTGCGTTGGTGTTTCGATACACCACCTATAATACTTTCCCACATGTCAGTGTTTCTCCTCGTTGTGGGTGTGAAGATCCAACGCCACCTGGTGCGAGCTCGCTCACTCGTCTCTCTTTTTTCTGACGAATATCTATCCACCCCCACCGTTTTTCCCAGGCTCTTCCAACGCCAAACACACGGTGCGAACCCGCTCACTCTTTTGTGTATTTGTGCGTGTGCTCTTTTTTTTTTCTCACGAATGTCCATGCACCCCGACCGTTTCCCCAGGCCCTGTTGAGCAACGCCGAGAAGAACCCCCCCCTGGTTTCGAGGGTCCTGGCGAGGCTCGCCAAGGACACCGAAGCGGCGGCTTTGGCCTCTCAGGCCTCGCCCCCTCACGACAGCGGCGGCGGCGGTGCCGGTGCCGGCATTAGTGATGCCGGAGACGACCTGCTAGACGGAGGCGACTTGGTGGGGGCAGTCGCAAACCTCACCGTCACCCCCGCCGCCGCGTCCGCTGGCGCGAGTGGGGTCGGGGCTCAGGGCGGCGGTGGAGGAAGCGGTGGTGGTGGCGGCCCGGATGAGGCTACGGCGGTGTCGTGTTCGGCGGGGACCTCCGGCGGGAGCGGCGGTGAAGGGGGCGGCGGCGGCGGCGGCGGTGGTGGGTCTGGTCCGGCGGCGGCCCCGCAGCAGCAGCGGGAAGACGACGACGCTTTCGAGCAAGAGCTGGTGGACGCGGCGGTCGTTGTCGAGAGGGACATCTCCAACACGCTTGGTCAGATGGTGAGTTCATGTGTGTGTGTGCGCTCCGTGTGTGTATGTGTGTGTGTGCGCGCGCTCCGTGTGTGTGTGTGTGTGTGTGCGCGTGCGTGTGCGTGTTTTTTATTGTTGGCATCGACCGCGCTAGCCGGCTGACCAATGAAAAGACGTCAGTCTTAGTGCGGTTGAAAACACAAAACACTTCTTCTATCTGCCATGAACTGGGACCCCGTGAGGGGGCAGCATGGGGGAGGCTACACTATCCTTCGGATCAAAGACAGAAACGGTGGCAACAGAAGAAAACTGCGCGCGTCTACCAAGGCTATTACCTTGTACTCGAGTTCGTTTAGGAGTACTTTCACCATTATCCTCCTTGTTGTCGCTACCATCATTCTGATCCTCATTTTGACAACAATCTCTTGGTATGTCTTCCCTAGCCCTACGTCTTTTGTTTTGGGGAAGGTCATCTGACTCAAGCTGTGTGTGTGTTTTTTTTTATTGTTAATAGCATCGACCGCGCTAACCGGCTGACCAATGAAGAGACGTCAGTCTGAGTGCGGTTGAAGATACAACACACATCTAAATGCCATGAACTGGCGCGCCCCGTGAGGGGGCGGCATTGGGGGAGGCTAGGCTATTCTCTGGATTAGTGTGTGTGTGCTACGGTTCCAGCGACGGGGTGACGATGATAGGTGGGTCGACAGGTGAAGGGAGTAGTGTAGACCGAATGTCGATCTTGCACTCAAGGGAAGGTGGGTGAGCAGGTGGCCGTTTGGAACCGGGTGGGTTATGCCCCGAGTTTGTGGTAAGTATGCTTCATGCAGCGGCAGGTTGTAATCGACTTTAATAGTTGGTTGCGTCGAGCAATTGCTTTGTCCCACTGTTCCGGTCGCAAGTGAGGGTGGTTGATGTTTGGATGTTACCGTTAATAGTATATTTTTTGTCTATTTGCTGGGCTCCTCATTGGCTGCTGTAAACACTTGCGTGTTTGTTTCGCTGTCTTTCATATTTGCGTGCCGTCTGTCTACTTCTTCTGCCCTTCTTCAGGACAACCCCGCGTACGAAGAACGCCGGCGAAACATTACGAACGAAGTTCGGAAGGGGGACCCCGGAATGTCGGAAGAGGACCTCCAAGCCGAAGTCAGGTACAACGTCGGCTTGCGGCTCGCTAGCTCTTGGGGGTATGGCAGCATGGGATCATATCAAGAAAACGCTTGGTACAGTAGGTCTTGAGAGCATGGAAGAGGGGGGGGCGGGATCGACACCTAGTCTGGCCCACAACCATTGGTCCGGGTACTACTTGGAAGACGTTCACGTAGAACGCGCGCACACACGTCCCCTCACGGGGTCGCAGATCATGGCCTGTAGAAGCATTTTTCTGTTTTCAACCGCGCTGATACTGATGTCTTTTCGTTGGTCAGCCTGTAAGCGCAGTCGATGCTAACTAGGAATTCAGGCACACACGCAGGGCCGATTTGTAATGTTCGAAGTCTATATGTAGCCAGACTGAGGGTGTCATTTGCCAACCGCTGGGCTTTGGAGGTATATCTGCGGACAAGGAGTCTTTAGCAGTGGCATAGCTATTATTGTAGAAGACTGCAAGAAGGTTGCTCTTCGCCTCACAAGCCCTGTTTCGCGTCCTTGGTCAATGAAGGAACGATCAAACGAGCAGGGTAGCAGCCAACAAGTTCCTCTCGCCTCCTCGCCCTCGCAGGAACAAGATCTCAACGCGGACGAGTGACAGTCATCATTGACCTCACAATAACGTGTACTCCGTGTCAGATGTCGTTGGTCCAACGAAAACAAACCGTACGTGGCAGCTGCTATTGGTTTAAGAAAAGAAAACGGGGAAGACAAGCGCACCGACACAAGGGCTCCACGCAACCCCTCCCATCCACCCACCCACCCACTCCTTACGTGCACCCTCTGACCCCGGGCCCCCTTTCGTTCTCGCTCAGTGCGGAAATGAAAACGGTGCAGGACATGTGGCAGCACCGGCTCGACGCGCTTCACGAAGTCCAGCCCACGCTGGCAGAGGCCCTGGCGGACAGGGGGCTGCCTGAGATGGCCGTGCTTGTCAGGGCGGAGGCTGGCGACAGCGATGCAACCGGCGAAGGCAAGAGGGGTCACGGAAGGAAGAACATGGTGTGCGCGTGCTTTTAAAAACTCGTGTTATGGTGCAAGCAGCTTTCAGTACCTTTGCAGCGGTGTTTTTTCTCGCCGCAGGCCGGAATTTTGCTGATCATACAACACGTATTTCGTACGTGGGATTCAAGTTGTGTCCGAAGACAGACTGGGGACAGGATTCGGGGTGGCAATATGCAGGAGTGATTTGAAACTAAATACTTCATAGATAAAATCGATATGCATTTACTTCGAACAGCAAAAGAGGCTTGTGTTTTCGAAGGAGTCTCGGTGTAGATGCCCGAGCGTGTTGTCATTCCGGTAGCACGTGGTCAGGCCGCATGTGCTGCTGTGTTGTAGGTAAGGTTATGTCGCATAGCCGGCGTTACTTTGCCGACACAGTAGGTCGTTGATGCCGAAGTTTCTGCAGAGATCGCCACCGCCGGAACTGCCTCCCTGCGTCTCAAGCTGTTGCATATGTCTTGTCTGCCGACTCTCTGACGTGGCTGTTTTCTTTCCTTGCCTCTCAACACGTGAGCCGTTGTTTGGATGCCCTAATGGGAGCGGGAGGACTGTATTTTCTTCCGAATCAACTAACGTGCTTGTTGTTGCTGCTGTGGTCGTTGTCAACGGGGTGTAAAAGGCGAAAGCGTTGGTTCCGAAGCAAGCGCACGTAGCGTTTTCGTCCTGGGGTCGAGTCTGAAGACCTTTTTTCAGTGTGTTCTTGCCGTCTTTTCTGGCGCCAGTCTGCACACGTTCCGGTGTATCATGCGGGGCCACACAGGAGGAAGATCGCACAGGAGCTTTTTATTTCTTGCTTCTGCCTCGTTTGGCCCACCTCTTCAATGATGATGAGTTTCGCGTCCGGCTTATGATTTTTGCGTGCGGCTTGTTCGTCTTTTGCCTACAAGGGGCGGGTGCTGCTGCTGCTGGTGAGGAAGACGGGAGCGACGTGGACTCCATGGATGACAAGGACGAGGAAAAGGAGGAGGAGGATGATGGGGCGGGAATCCTGGAGCACTATGAGAAATCCTCGACTCTTGCTTACCTGTGAGTGTACCGATCTCCGTAGACCGTAGCAACGAATTTTATACTGACTCCGTCGGGCTTTTTTAAAACTTTTGTGTGTGTTGTTCCCCGTCTTCTGCCCACAAAATCGTGTTGTGTAGCCGATCGCTGTACTGTTGGCGCCAGTTGGAGCTTGGTAAGCTCTGGCGGGAGAGCTGCACAAGGTCAAGCGCAGTCTTCGGGTGCCGTTCAGAGATATCTCTGAAAGGGAGCTGCATGGCGATTTAGCGGCTCTTCCAACGCGCGCGCAACTCATGTCTGCCGCACCATGATAAAAGGAATGGTTTTTGTACCGTGCGTCCTCACTTTCCACGCCCCCTCCCCTACTCCTTGCTCCACCTCCTGGACATACCAGGCCTGTGTTCAACCTGCTCACGAAATGCCAAGAGACGTGGGAGCGGTTGCTGCTCGCCCACGACCGTGCGCTGGAGAACGGCGCCGCGGGCAGCGGCGGCGGCGGCGCGGATGCCGGTGCCGGCAGTGCCAACGCAGGCGGTGGCATAACTCTCGACGCTGCATTCTTCAAGGGGGCAATGGCGGACGTCAACACCAAGGGGCGGGGGAAGTGGGGAAATAACAGGATCGCGGCTGCCGCAAAGCGGGCGGCAGCATTCGTTCAGGTGGGGAGCAGGGACAAGCGGGGGGGTTCGCCAAGTACATGACGCCTATGTCGACCCCCCCCCCCTGTTTGTGGCGCTTGAGTCCTTTACGAGGGGTGTGGCATCGATGCTGCTCCTTTCGCGGTCTGCGTTCGCACAAGCGCTGCGGGATAATTAATTCATGCTACGAAAATATGGACTCTTTCCCGCTACGCGACTCTTTCATTCTGTGACGGAAGCGAATGCCTGTACCCATTTCCGGCGATGCAGCGTGTGTTTTTATTGACCTTCGGGTTGAGGACCTCCGCAACGTCTGCCGGCGTGCCGAAGATAGAGAAACCGAACTTCGGGGGTCATGCGCGTAAAATTAGCCAAACATACCCTGGGATCATTTTCCATCGCGGTCGGCAGAGAGAGCACGTCCAACCCACACCTTTTTTTGTCTAACCCCCGCCTCCACTCGCTGCTGATGTTATCCTGCCGTTTCCTGTGCGCCCGTTCGTTCTGTCACTGCTGCTGTTGTTGCTGCTGCTGCCGACTTCGGGATCTCTTAGACCCAGGCAGGAAGGGGGCTGGACCGACCTTCAACGAGCGACGTCTTGTCGTGGGGCCTGAAGGGAGATGCCGCAGCGTCACTCGGTGTGCTCGTGCGCTGGATCAAGAGTCGCGTGTTGGCTCACATGAGGAAAACAGAGGCGCTGACAAGGTATGTATGGAATCACGCCACACACACTCGCTTCTGTGCGGCAATGTAGGGACCATCATTCACTTGTACCAAAATGATAAAATGATCGCCTTTGTTTCCAAACTGTGTGGTGTGGTTTGTTGACAGGGATGTCGCGCCGCGTTGACGTTCCCCCGCCCTTAACTTCACGACCAAGTGGTCTCGTGCATGCTTCCGAACGAGGGACGAATGCCGCGCCCCACGTGTTTAGTGTAGGTAACGGTAGTCGGGTAAATGGGTGAATAACAGGCATTATTATAGTCAAATTTGAGGTGACGTGACCATGAACTGGTTGTTTCCGCTCTCGTTTGAGTCTTGAAAACGTTTTTCTCAACAGGGTCGAGCATACATACCGCATTCGTCCTCAAATGAGTTTGACCATCTAGACTATGAGTTGAACGTCTATTCCTCTACGTAGTCGAGCATGTCACATTCTATCGCGTTCTGCAATATTGTAGCGAAAAATGGACGTGTCTGTTCCCGCGTCCATGTCCACGTGGTAGCCGCGGCTTACACATCCACACGCCGTGCTCGAGATGAATGATAACTGCTCTCCCCTGCTTGTATACCACGGATGAATGCTCGTTGATTTTTTTTTTTGCGCCAGATTTGCTGGTGGCGACGGGGACGAGGAGCTCACCCCCCCGTCTGAACGAGAGGCGCTAGTCGCCGAGTGCAAGGACCTGCAAAGGCAGATCAGGACCCTCCACCCGGCCTGTGAGTTGACACATGCCGTAGCTTTTGGTGTCCGCGACTGTTTAGAACCTTCGCAGCACTACGGAAGTGGCCCCCACTTACGAACCGCCTGCTCTGGACGGACCACCCCTAGCTCCTTGTTTTTTGTAGGAAGAAAGTGACCGGGAATGTGTAGGTTGGGTGGGGTTCAAGCGCTTACACATGCTTGGTGAAAATCGATCCCTCACGTTCCATGGTTGGTACCAAGTTCTCAGTGAGGACCTCATCTGTAGCAGCAGCTACGGCATTAGCAGCAACAGCAACGTCATTAGCAGCAGCACTAGCAAAACGGTCAAGTGTGTAAATGTGTATGTGTTGGGTGTATTTTGTTTTGGTTATTTTTTATTTTTCAGTTTTGCTCACGCAATATGGCTAGACCTTGGCGCGGGAGCCCTGGCTCATGTTCTTGTCTTCGCAACAGACCAACAAAGTTTCATGCTCACCGCTGGAGCTGTTGGCAACAACTCGCATGCTGCAATCTCACGGCTACCTGGATCAGACGAGCGGTAGCACCAATTCCCTGAGCCCCCGCCCCCCCCACACGTTGATGAAAAACAACAATACAGGGCAAGACTCAGCTGCTGCGGAGTTCTGGGCTTCCGCTTCGGATGTGGAACTCAAAAGCTGTTGGCAGCGCCTTAGGATCAAGCTCCTCTCGGAGCTAAGGCACGCCGACAGCGCCGCGGAGATCCAGGCCGCGGGGATAGGGGTGAGTCCGGGAGCGGGGACATTTCAGTGCCCCCATAAACCGCTTGGCGAACCTACCGTTTTGTTCGGTTTTTCAGATGGTTCATCTTCTCCGCCAATCGGTGTTCGCTCTCTGAAGTCTTGCCCGGCTGGTATATCTATCTTGTGCTTTGTGTGAAGTCAACCGTATTGCTCTCACTCCCCGTCAACGAGATTGTTTGTTGTTGTTGTGACCGCTCGGGGAGTACGAGAGGTTGCGGGCGTTAATGTTGAAACCCAGGTTTCCGCATCCTGTGGTCGTTTTGGGGTATCCTTTGTCGGCTGTGTGTTTGGTAGTAGTGTGGGAGCGGCGGCGCGTAGTGGGGAGAGCGTCGTGTGGTTGGTTAGAACGACAGATTTGTTTACCCGTAGCATACGCCGTTAGTATTTGGGGGATTTCTGCTGCGATGCACACCGGTGTTGGTGTCGTTGTCGCGATGATCGTTCCGGCTCGTTCAAGCTTTTTGCCGGTCAGCAGTGCATCCTTTCTTTTTTTCTCCCTTACTCTCTCTCTCTCTCTCTCTCTCTCTCATTCTCTCTCTCCCTCTCTCTCTCCCTCTCTCTCTCCCTCTCTCTCTCTCTCTCTCTCTCTCTCTCTCTCTCTCCCCCGCCAATGCGCTACGGTGACGTCATCAATCCCTCCCCCCACCCGCCCTTGTGCCCCCGTATATGTGGTGCAGGTCGAAGATTTAGGCACGAATAATGACGCATACCTCCGGTTCAGTTGGACAAAAAAACGAATATCTGCTGAGGTGAGGCTGGCAGCGTTCGCGGGCCATTAAGACGGGAGACTAGGGGCATCGTTGAACAGAAGTGCGAATTAGCCATTATTCGGACGTATGTGGTGCACTATACGGTATTATAGGTTGTTTTAGTAGTATTACGCGTCTTGTGAGGGGCACTCACCCAACAGACCTGAAAAGCTGGTATGTATCGAAGGGTCTCACTTCGTGTGTGCCCCTGCAGTACTGCGGCGGTCTCGACAATCTGGGCTAGTTTGTCTTCTGGACGAGGACGCTGCCTGTGCAATCATGTGTTGCAAGCAAGCAAGCTCAGTGCGGCGGGTGGGAATGTCAAATCGAATGTCAACTTCTTGATTACACCACTTCTTTGAGTCTGGACCACACGTTGTATGACCCAAAAGTGAGCGATGAACCTGGTAAAAACGATGGCTTAGCTTACTCTTCGTTTGCACAAGCACCCCGTCCAAAAGTGAAATGCAGTTATGTCGACTTCTTCAATACGCAACTCTCTGAGTCTGGACCACAAGTTGTGCGACCCCAAGTGAGCGACGAAGTATTCTTTTGTTTCACACAAGAGCGCCCGCACTGCTGTATCCCCCACGTTTTCCTTCCCATTCTTGGGGTCCGTCCCCCCGGCGGCTCACAGGATGCAACGCGTATCTTAGAAACGGCGATGGCGTGCGAGGGTGTCGTGAGGCTGCAGGGGCGAAGCGAGGCCGACGACACCGTGGCCGTCCAAAGGGAGCGCCGGACGGCCGTTTCGAAGGGCTCCAAACCCCGAAAACCGCGCGCGCCACGCCCTCCGAGAGCGCCCAAGGGACCGCGGGCGCCTCGGGGGCCAAGAGCGCCCAAGGCTGGTGGGAGGGCTAGCGGTGGCAGCAGCCGGAAGCCGAAGTCTTCCTCGGCCCCGCAAGTGGGTGCTGGCGGTGGCGGCGGTAGTGTCGCTCCTGAAAGGGCTGCAGCATCGGCGGAGAAACCGGGCGAGAGCGGCGGTGGCAAGGGGAAGGGGAAGGCCGTGGGCGGGAACGGTGGCGAAGAGCTCGACGATGGCGGCGGCGGCGACGATGGCGGCGGCGGCGACGACGACGACGACATGAACGACTTCATCGACGACTCTGGGCTTGAGCCGCCGGAGCACGAGCCCCTTGCGCCTCCGGCAAGGCCACCGCGGAGGGCGGCGGCGGCGGCGCCGCCGTCCCCTTCTTCCGCCACGGACGAGGGTGTCGGGAGCCTGTCCCCGGCGGCGGCGGCGGCGGCCACGACGCCGGCTGATGATGGCGGTAGCACCGAGGCGGCCCGCGCGGACGGCGCAGAACAACAACAACAGCCCGGTTGGGAAGCCGCCGGCGCTGCCTCGCCCAGCCAGTACATGAGCCAGTCGCCGCTGTCCGCGGACTTCGCGGCAGAGGAGCTACGGTCGCCGGCCAGCCCCACAGGGGATGGCGACGAGGGCGTCGACGACACCGGCGGGGCTAGCGGTGCGAGTACCGCCGGCAGCGCGGATGCCGGAGACGGCCGCAGCGGCGGTGATGGCGTGGCCGGGGAGGAGGCGGAGGAGAGGCTGGAGCGTCCTGCCGAGGGGAGCTGTGAGCCCGAGGTCCTGATAACCGTGCTGATGGGGATGGGCGTAGTGGATGACGACATCGTGAAACCTGCGGGGCGGGAAGCCTTGCAGACCCTGCTGCTGAAGGCCGGCGGGGACAAGGATACCGCGGTGCAACTCTTCTTCGAGCGGGAGAATGAGACACCCGTCCCGGCAAAGGTGCGGTGCGCGTGTGCCCACGTTTTTCCGTTGTGGTTGGGAGTCAAGGGGTTCTAAACGAAATATCCTAGATCGCCTCGATCCCGTTGGTGCCCCTGCTTGGACAGAGGAGACCCTCCCACTTGGGCGACACGATCAAGACACAACAACGCACGAGAAAAGCAAGAAATATTATTCTCATGTTTCGTGGCTTTTTGTCGGCCGGGCCACACCACACGTCCCCAACTCGGCCCATGTATCGGTTGGCCTTTCGCAATTGCCAGTGTTGAGAGCGTGCCGTGTACCGTGACGCTAGTGCCACAGTGTTGTTCCGTGTCTGCTGTGTTAACCTTCTCTCGAGCTTTCTCTCACACGACTTCGCCTCCGCCCGCCGCCGCCGCCGCCGTCCTCTACGTCTCTCGCTTCAGGAGGTTGTTGTGCCGCCGGAAGGCGCCAGCCGGAGGTCCACGCTTCGAAGAAGGAGCGGACCCCGCGGCCAAAGCTGCTGGGTATGCTCGTCCACCATGCCCGGAGAGTGGAAGCGCATGCGTAAGTCTAGCGAGGAAGAGATTCGTAAGAGGCGGGCGAATGATTCCTCCAGCGGCAGCGGCGGCAGTACGGCGGCCGGGGACGAAGGCGGTAGCGATGGCGAAGGTCGTCGGGAGACCGACGGCGACGGCGGCGCCAGCAGGAAGACGACGGCCGACAACCCGGCGGGGTCGCACCCTGCTGCTGACCAATCGGAAGCCGTCTCCCACTCCTCCGGGTCCGCCGCCGCCGCAGCAGCGAAGAGGAAGCCGCCCGCTGGTGCACGGTTCGGGACGGCCTCGCTGAGCGTAGACAGATCCGTCAGCCCGGACTTCATCTGGGTGTGCGGGCGCGAGCACTGCCTGAAGGCCGCCATGGGTTCCTGGTACGTGGTGCAGGACGTCTACCCGGTGCAGCACGTCGTGTGGACCGCCGAGACCGAGCGCGGTCCCGATCGCCTCGCCGCCGAAGCCAGCAGGGCCGTGAAGGAGACGAGTAGAAAGTCTTCCCCCCCCCGGGACGGCCGGGAAGGGGATGGCAAGGGCCAGAGTTCGTCCGGCGATAGCCACGAGGACGACGACGACTACGACGACGACGATGATGAGGATTATTTCGAGGAGGAGTTTCACCAGGTCTTCGGCGAAACGACGCTAAGCGAACGAGACTCGGCGGTTACCGAAGAGCGACGGGGGGTAGTAGACAAGGGAGGGACGAGCGGTGAGCGGCGGTCGGGGGAGGGAGCGGGGGGAGACGACGACGCCAACAGCGAACCCCCCCGTGCGGCCCCCTCTGCAGCGTCTCCAGAGGGAGACGGGGCAGAGGCCGACATTTCGGGAACCAAGGCCGCAGCGCCTTCGCCCGCGTGTCCAGGTTCCAAAGATGTCGGTGGCGGCGGCGGCGGCAGCGGCGGCAGCAAGCCCGAAGAAGAGACTGTCGAGCCGCCTGCTGCAGCCACGGCAGATGCCGTGTCTGCACGGGAGCAGGAGGCGCGGGAAGCGTGCGCGGTGGTTCTCGGCAGGGATTCCGTCGGGGGTTCTTCTTCGGCCACGGCGACGGCGGGCCTTGCCAACGGCAGCAGCGGCAGCGGTGGTCGAAGGCTGGTTCAGGCCGGCACGGATGACAGGGCCACTTCTAGTAGCGCCGGTCCCGTGGAAGGCAACAGCGGTACGGGGAGCCACTCCACCACAGCGCCCTCAGTGGTTGACCTCACAATCTCCGATGACGAGGAGGAGGAGGAGGAGGAGGAGGAGGAGGAGGAGGAGGAGGGGGCGAGAGAGGACGGCAATGGTGGTGGCGGCAACGGATCGGCACGGGGGTGGATGTCCCCGCGCGATAGCGGCGGTGGCGGCAACGGCGCGGGCGCAGGTCGAAGCGTCCCTTCTCCCGCTGCCGGCGGCGTTGGGGGAAAGAGGGGGCCGGGGGCGTCCGGGAGCTCAGCGGGGGCCCCCTCCTCCTCTATTCCCTCCTCGGGAAAAGGAAGAGCCACAGGGAACGCCCCGGCGCCGTCCCTGGAAGACTTTTGGGGAAGGACTAGCGGAGGAACGGGCGGCGTGTTGAGCAAGAAGAGCTTCCGGAACGGCGGCGGCGATGCCGATGGTAGTGATAGTAGCGACGACGACATGCAATGGTTCAAGAGGCCATCCCCGAAGGCACAGCCGGATACCGCCGCAGAAAAGAAGAAGAGCGGCGCCAGAAGAAAGAAGAAGCTTCGGAAGGTTAGGAAGGGCGGCCCGAGCAGCGGAGGCAGCTTGTCGTCGGATGGTGACCCCTTCGGCATGGACGACACGGCGGAGGTTGCAACGGCCGCGGCGAGGGCAGCGGGAATGCCCGTCGACGGGGGCAGCGGCGGCAGCGATTTGGGTGGAGCTGGGTCGAAGAAAGGCGACGGCGTGGGCGGAGGCGACCCAGGCTCGACGGCCAAGCGCGCCGGCAAGAAAGCTAAAGGCAAGGGCAAAGCCCGCCGTGTCATCGACAGCTGCAGCGGCGGCGACAGCGACAGCGATAGTGACAGCGGCAGCGACAGCGGTAGTGACGGCGATAGCGGCAGCGGCACCGGCACTGGCAGCGGTACCCGCAGCATTTCTGGCGGCTCCAAACGCCGGGACAAGAAGGGAGAAAAGGGCAAGCGGCGGCGACGAAGACGCCCGAAGGAGGGCACAGATGAGTCGTCGTCGTCCTCCTCCTCTTCTTTGTCTTCCATCTCTTCGGCCGATGAGGATGGCGATGACGATGCGGACGTGGTGTTCTTGTCCAAGCGGAGGGCCGAGCGGCCGCTCGACAAGAAGCAGGAGCAAGAGGTACAGTACGAGATTGTTGTTGACCCCGTCGCGGTACATACTTCTTTTTAAGAACGCGACCTACTGCTGTGACACCCGGACGAGAAGCTGTTGCTCTTTGCTTGTCGTTGTCGTTGTTGCTTGTTTTGGTGGTGACAAGTTCATTCTGGTAGTGCTGATGATGCTGCTGTTAAACGCTTATTGCTGTTGTTGGTCAAACTACCGGACCATCGTCGACCGCAAGCTCTCCGGTTCCGCGATATTTTTGCTGGAAGATGGCTGGGGTTGTTGACGAACGCAATCACTTTGTACCAAGAATCATGCTTCTACCACCTGATCGTCGGGGTCCTGGCTACGGCGGACAATTCGTACTTGGAAGTATTCGGCAACTACCGTCTCCCGTCCAATGGTTGTTGGTAACCCATGTTTCTTGGGGGGTCTCAGTTCTTGTTGACGGAATCGCATCGTACACCGGGGAAGAGCAACCATGTTGGGTCATGTACTGGCCCGGGTGGGACGTGCCATGCAAATTCTATCCTCATGGGTTGACGTTATTTAGAGAGAGTCGACTCCGCACGAGTGTTGTGTAGGTCACGTCGTCTGGCCACAAGAAACGGGCTCTGCTCCCTTTTTCGTACGATGTAGTTGGAAGTATTTGGCAACTACCGTCTCCCCTGCAATGTTTGTTAGTGCAATACGACTCCACAAGAAATGAATTATCTGCTTTTTTTTCGTACGATATACAAGTAATCTACCAGTCCAGGAATGTATTCTATTTCAGCTGCATCCTGCCTGTTTCTCTAGCGATCTCCGAGCAACTTCAGTGACGACTCCGTGTTTTTTTCCCGTTGTTCTTGCCGCTGAGGTGGTGAAGTTGACCTGCTGCATGTCGTCTGTCTTTGATTATTTTTTGTTTATTGTTTTTGTTTGCTGTTCATCAAGGTTGAGAACCTGCGCGTCAAGGAGCGGGAGCGATTGCGAAAGGTAAGCGGGGTACAACGAAGGAAGAGCGGTGGTGGGGAGGGGGGAGGGGTGGTACTCGTGTGTAGCCTCCCTGAAGTCATCTAGCCTTTGCCCATCCGTCTCGATATGGAGCGCCTTTCACACCGCTGGTAGAGAGGAGTGGGGTTTGGAAGAAACATGCAGATAAGACAGGGGCAAGGGCAGGAACGGCGGCTTCGTGCGACGGCTTCCTAAACCTAACATGTGTACGGGTGTATCCCCATCTGTGTTCATTTCCCGGGCTATTATGTTATTAAGGGGGCGGAGGAGGGAAGGGGTTTTATGCCGTTATTCCACGGCTTTTTCGATGTTGCCGGTACTTTTCTGCTATTTAGATCCGCCAGTCGACGTCGCGGCGTCGAAGAGCTGCCCCGGCCAGCGATCGAGGTCGTCGTCCGCGATGTCGGCCATCAGGGTGTGGATGTCGTCAGTTCTCATCTTGCTGCGGCACTCATTGCAACGAGCTCCGCAGCCAGATGACAAATCCGAAAACATCCACACCCTGATGGCCAACATCGTGGACGATTATCTCGATCGTTGGGCGGGGCAGCTTGTTGTCGCCGCGACGTGGACTGGCGGACCTGACAGCCAACGTCCGCCTGAACAATCGAGAGAAATGAGCCCCCCACACCCCTCTCGATTTCCATATGCAGCTGCATGCACAGCTTTGTCCGTACGAAGGGATCACCGGCAACGGAGTAACGTTGGTGGCCATGGCGTACCTAGCTGGGTGATGGTCAGGCAGGTCCCCTGCCGCTTTCCCTGCAGGAAACAGCACCCGATCGGGTCGGCATGGCTAGGGTTGGGGTGTGTTGTCTTCCGGTATATAGACGGCTACAGAGGATGCGGAACTTAGTGTGGGTAGGTTAGTTCTTGTGTCAGGAGGCCTCATCCAAACAAGTCCAATACTGCTGTTCTTTAGGTGATCCAAAACGGAGATGGAGAATACAATAGTATCAATGATTAGGTGCACACAGCGGTAGGGGGGCTAAGCCAACCATGTAAACCTTGAAAGCAATGGTTAGAGTGTCACCAAAACGTCCCAAAGCCAAATAGTCTGTTCGACACAAGTTTTGGGTACCAAGTTGTGGGGTACGCGTTGGTGGAATCTACTTCGGAACTAGCTACAAGAGTTTTGAGAGGAGGGGTTCATGACCTTCCCGGGATAAGCCGAGTTGCGCTAAATGCTAAATAGTGCAATCGATGTTGTTCTCCTTCCGTCCATCCTCCCCTTCCTCTCACTCTGCCCTCCCCCTCCCCCCTGCTGTCCCTTGTTCCCTACCTACTTGTGAAGATCGCGGCCCGCATCCGCTCTCCGCCGAAATCCGCTGGTCGAAGGGCGTTGTTGCAGGTACTACACAGCGTAGTGATTTCGCGAGTCAAGCGTTTGTGTGTGGAATCCGCCGGGGTTTCTAGCTACGATGACGCTGAGAAGTTGGAGTTTAATCATCGAGGCGATTTGCAGCTTTTTTTTATGTCACCGACTTAACGCTATTATTTTGTTTACACACACGATGTTATGGGGTTTGTTTTTCAGACTTAATCCGCATCCGATCTTTCCGTGTGGCTCAGAGCATATCCCCACTCACCAGTTGTTCACTGGCGCCTCTCTCTTCGTTATACCCAGTCTCCCGATCAACAGTGTGTAGGAGAGGCCACCAACAGTACCCCGAAATGCTCAGAGCTATCACATGTTGGCGGTATCTCGACAACTGGGAGCACGAACGAACTGCGATGACTTATTTTAATAATCGAGGAGGCAAGCACCAACCGAGCCCCCCTCCTCCCCCCCCGCCTGCTTTGTTCAGTCTCCCATGTCTCCGATGGACTACGTGGAGGAAATCCCTAACCCGGACCACGTGCACGTCCTGGAGGACCTCACGCCCGAGGATGGGGAAGGGGAGGGGAGGCGGGTGGAGGTAGCGCCGTTCATCGGCAGGTTCCTGCTGGAGCACCAGGTGGGGGGAGAGGGAGGGCGAGGCCGCTGTGCTGTGTTTTGTGCATGGTGCCGTTTTCAGCTGTGCATGTATCGTTGGTATGCTTGTGCAATCCACGGAGGTTTGCTGCGTCTTGTCCCTGTTCTAATGTATGCATCCGTGTGTGTGTTTTTTTTTAAGTTTACATACTTTGGGACTCCCCCTGTTCTGTTTGTTTTGGATTGTGTCTTGTACCCCAGTTCTGTTTTTTCGGAACGTGTCTCCCCCTGTTGTGGTTGTTTTGGATGGTGTCTACCCCAGTTGTGTTTTTTCGGAATGTGTCTCCCCCTGTTCTGGTTGTTTTGGAATATGTGCAACGTTGCGTCTTGCCCCCGCTTTATGCATAGGTGTTTGTCTTCTTGTTGGAACTGGCCTACCTTGGAACCCCCCCTCCCTGTTGGGTTTTGTTTTTAGAAGGTGTGCATCCGTATCATCGACCTTGTCAACGGGGGGCCCACGTGAGACGTCGGCATGAGGTTCCCTGTTGATAGAAAAACAGTGGACATGAGGAGGCATGCATTGTTCTCTTTGCCCGTCCATCTATATCCGCTTGAGGTCGAAAATCCTCCCTTGTTCGTGCTTCCTAGACACCGCACGCCGTCGGTACTGTCCTCTCCAGTATCAGTGTTACGGGCGTTAAACTTTTGGTTGTGCTTCTGTGCTACGCATTCAAGAGCAGTTTTGTCTCGGAGACCCCTCTCTCCTGTATACTAGTAAGCACCGAGCCCACGGGGCTTTGTTTATTTACTGTTGGGCATGCGCTATATGGGCCGATTTGTTGTCGCCTCTGCGGCCTTGGCTGATTGGTGTTGTTGGCGTCGTTGGTTGTATTTTGTCTGTTGACGCGAGTCTTGGGGCAAGACGTTGACGTTTGTTGCTTCTCTCTGCTGCTCGCTCCAGGTGGAGGGCGTGCAATTCATGTACGATAACCTGGTAGTGAACATCAACCAGTTGAAGGAGGGCGGCGAAGGGGCGAAAGGGAACGGCTGCATCCTGGCGCATTGCATGGGCCTAGGCAAGACGCTGCAGGTACGTGTGTGTCGTCGAGACGGGTCGAAGGTGATTTTGGTGGCGTGGGAGGCAAACGTTTGAAGTGGGTCGTGCGATGACACGAAGTAAGCAGTTAGTTTATGGGGAACGCACCATCGCACACTGCTGTTGCGCCAGCATGCACATGCACGCGCATGGTAACGAGTACCCCCCACCCCGCCCCTACCGGCCCCCTTTTCTCGGAGCGCAGGCTATTACCATGATGCACGTGCTACTGACCAATGCCATAGTGCAGGAGGCGGCCGTGGAGGACGCACCGTGTGAAGAATCTGGATCTGAATCTGGATCTGAATCTGGATCTGGATCTGGATCTGGATCTGGATCTGGGTCTGGGTCTGGGTCTGGTGGTAGATATGGATCCTCCGAAGCTTCAAGCCCCAAGGCGAAGGACCCTGCCGCGGGCAGGTGGTCGTCGTCGTCGTCGTCGAAAAAGTCGCGGAAGAGGTCGTTCTTGCGGACGTGCCTGGTGTTGGTGCCGAAGAACGTTCTGCGGAACTGGGAGGAGGAGCTCAAGAAGGTCAGAGCACGCACACGTATGTAGTAGAAGGAGGTAGAAGACTTCAGATATCGCGTCACTAGAGTCGGCGGCGGCAGCCGTGAATACCAGCAGCAGCATGGACTTGTCGCATTTTTTTTTTTGTCTTTCGAGTTTTTCTCGTTCTTGGAAGCGTTTTTTGACGTGTCGTTTCGCTCGGTCCTCCTCTTCTCGTTTGTGTGTGTTTTTTGCCGTGTTGCCGTGTTGCTGCTGTGTTGGGTCTGCAGTGGCTACCCGACTACCACTTTGAAGGCAAAGTCCTCGTCGTTGACAGGTGAGAGGGGAGAGGGATCGAGGGTTTCGCTGCCAGCAATAAACCAGGCACTTTTCAACCGACGAGAATTTCCCTTCACAAAATATTGACCCTTCAGAATGCTGCGGACATATTTTCTCGGCGCGGCACCACTTTTCGCTTTCTCTGGCACAGTGCTGTAGCTTACCTTTTGGGGCCGTTTCCCTCGTCTTGAGGGTTTTCCCAGATGTGAACTCCAGCGATCGCTTCATTCCATGTCGTTGAGTTGGCTCCACGACGGTGTAGATTTTGTTTGCGCATGTATGTGTTTCGTTGTTTCATCTGAACCCCCCCCCCCCCCCATTCCCACATTGGTGTATCTAGACCTCATTTCTGGGCCCCGTGGTGACACAGCGAATCATGCTAGCGCCGATACCTCTCATTGAGTGGTGTGAGCCGATAACAGAGTGCAGCCGAATACGAGAAGCGTGGCGGAGGGCTACATTATGCCGCCATGCGTTCACCTCGTGCGCAGGCTGCGTTTAGCAAAAGTAGCACCCGCGGCCGGTGAGAATTGGACGTGCACCTCCCCCAGATAGAATGCTGACGGGTGCAAGAGTCTACGCTACCTATACCTCTACAAATCCATCGACTGAGACTCAGTATTCACGCCCGCCCCCCCGCCCCCCTCGCCGTATTATGATGATGACACGTCCACCCCCCCCCCCTCTCTGTACTTCCCCAACCCCCACGCAGCACCGACCTCGTGGCCGACCGGCTGAGGAAGATGGAGCAGTGGCACGAACGCGGAGGCATCCTGGTCATGTCCTACTCCATCTTCCTCAACATGACGAGGAACGGCGCCAAGAGCGAGCGCGTGGAGCGGTCGCGGGCGTTTCTCCTGGACCCGGGGCCCGACGTGGTCGTGGCGGACGAGGCACACCTGCTCAAGAACGAGGGCGCGCAGGTACGCCGGGTGCCGACGGCTGATAACGGGGTTGGTGCAGTAGTGGGCCGGCCAAGCCGGACAGCGGCACTTAAGCCGGACAGCGGCACTATTCAAAGTACAGAACAACGACTTCGTATTTCAGCGTGTGCAAGCCGAAAACACCTGCACTATGGAGGGCCCACTATTTACTGTAGTGCAGTCGTCCCCCCCAACGGGGTTGGTGGTGCAGTCCTACCCCCGCTTTCGGAGAAAGCACACAACACTCATTGTTGTATTCTTTTTCAAGAAACGAAGGTGTCCTAAATAGATTGTACCCCCGTGTTGTTCATTCTGCGGGGCGCCACGCTTCTCTTTCAACGTGGTGTCCTTAGAGCGGGACACGGCTGTATGTACGGTGTGCTGATATAGGTATGGTATTGCGTATTCCGTTGTGAATGGGAACGTGGAAGAGAGGAGCAGGTGTTTGGTATGTGGTAATGCCGTGCTGTTGGTGGGATGGGATAGAATAGGAGGGGGGGGCGGGCTCAGTCGTGATGTGGGTGCGATCGGTTGTGCTAGGGTGCTGGTATGCCGTAGTTAGTGCCACACAGTATGGAGCGCGGTAGCTGACACCTCGTTCAAACTCGCACGGCTACCTATCTTTGCTGCAAGGGCGGTTGGTGCCTCGCATCGGTGGCCCCCCAACTTCTGACGGGAATCTCGGGCTTGCCCTGTGTCCCTGATTTTACCCCCGGACCGAACCATTGTCTGTGGCACTCGTCAAAATTGTGCTTTGAACTGGGCTGTTTTTCAGTGTGTGTGTTTTTTCTTGTCACCTCCATGTTGTCACTCTCCGAATCTACTTACCGTTCCTCGCTGTGTTGTTCCCTTTGTTTTTTCTTCTGTGCAGGTCACCCAAGCGATTAAGAAGATTAGGACCAGAAGACGAGTAGCACTGACGGGCTCCCCGCTCCAGAACAACCTGGTGGAGTACTACACGATGGTCGACTTCGTCCGCAAAGGGATGCTGGGGACCCTGGAGAGGTTCAAGAACTACTTCGAGGCCCCCATCGTTAACGGCATGCTCGTCGACAGCTCGCCGTATGACGTCAAGGTGCGCGCAAGCAGCGAGGTCCCGCGTGTGGACCACACACACACACACGGCGTAATTATGTTCGAGGAGGTGTGTAGGATGTGTGTTTGTGTATCTATGTGCCATCACGTACTTGCTGCGAGAGAGAGATCGAGAGGATCGTTCAGAGAGCAGGCCGCAGGCTCGCAGGTTCCTGCGTGGGCTGTATCGCACTGTAATCGGGCGTCACATTCAACTGGAAGGCTCTTGTACAAGTATCGCAAAGACGTGCTCCGGGGTTGGGCCGTTGGTGTGAAACAGGACCAGTCGCTTCGGCTGTGCGTGTTCTGTCGTGTTTGAGTTTTGAATTGTTCGTGAAGGCATGTTGTCCTCCTACCGTGGGGGGTTCGATTTCGTTGGATTCTTGGTGCGGTTTTTGTTTTTTCGAGACAGGCTGTTTGTTGTCGGTTGCCGTGGGGTGGATTACTGTGTAGCACACGTCGGTGGCGTAGCAGCACAGACACGTACAGCACATGCCTACGTTTGGTCCCTGGTAGCCCTCTCACATTTTCTCCCTCTTGTCTGTTTTATTTTTTCGTTCCTCTTCGGCAGAGGAGCCACGGCCGGTCGCACGTTCTCCACCAGACCCTCATGGGCTTCGTCCAGCGGAAGGACGTGACCGTGATGGCCAAGGCCCTGCCCAAGGACGTGGTGAAGGAAGAGATCGTCCTCAACGTCAACCTCTCCGACGAGCAGCAGAGGCTCACTAGGAAGATCTTCAGGGAGGCGAGGTATATTGCGCAGGCAGACGGCTGGTAGGCAACAACAGCAGCAGCAGCAGCAGTACCAGCAGCAGCAGCAACAGCAACAGCAGCAGTGTGTATAAACAAGTATGTGTAACGAAAGCAATACACATGAGAGCCAGCACTCACTTTCGTTCATGCTGTGCAGGTTGGAGGATGGCTTGTGTTGCCGTGCTGCAAAAAAATCCGACTGGGTGTTGACGGGGGGGCAAGCGAGTACAAGCAAATAAAGGCCACAATGAATCTGGACGGAGGCCATTCATTGAACACAGGCGTGGTTTCTTTTATTTTCGTGAGGATGATAATTGTCTCGAAAACCGAGGGAGGGGAACCACAAACGCTTGTCTGCTGGTTTGGCTTCGCGTGTCAGATGGACTTCAACCGCTCCAGACCCACGAGAGACCCCCCCCCCCCTTCTGTTTCGTCTGTCTGTCGGTCCCCTTGGACACTCGCGTGTTTTGGCTGGCGGCAAGCAGATTGAACGGACCGAAGCGGGGAATGCTGCTGAGATTGATCATGCCCCTGCAGTTGCTGTGGACGCACCCCCTTGTGTACGAGGAGGAGGAAGCGGGCAAGCTAGCCAGGGCCATGGAGGAGGAGGAGGAGGAAGAGGAGGAGGAAGAGGAAGACTCGTTTGAGGACGAAGGGGGAACGGCGGCCGGCGGAGAGGCGGCGAAGGACGCGGCCGTTTCTATCTGCGACTCCTCGGACGATGTGAGCCCTTACCCGGCGGGTCTGTGTGTCAGTGTAGATTGAAAGCGGCACAAGCCAGTCAGACTCTGTTTTTGCTTTGAGCGGCATGAGTAGGGCACCGTAGGTTGCAAAAGATACCACGCCCCCTGGAACGATTTTCAAAGCTTAATTACTCCACGACGAAGAGGGCGCTGATTACAAAGGATACGTTGTCAGAAAAGCTCTCGATCAGACGGGTCCAACGCCTCTCGCCATTTTCGCCTCCGTCACTGCTTTTCCTGCCCGAGTATTCGAGCTTTGGAAATCGGGCCAGGGTGTGTGATATCTTATGCAATCTACGGTATAGAGGTGCTTTTGTGCCCCCAAGACTTGAATAGACGACGATGACGACGATGCCAACATCGGTGTTTCAATGTTTGGCATCACCTACACCAATGAAGATAAAGCAACCTCTCGTTGCACTCAGCAGTTAGTTCCTTGGGGCCTCATGTCCCCGCTGGAGAACCTTGGGGCCTCATGTCTCCGCTGGAGAACCTCTCACTCCCGTCGGTTGGCTCGTGGTGTTTGCCACCAGCCTAACTGTTTTTGCCACGCGCGATAGCTTTTGCTTGTCTCGCGCGCGTTGTGCATACGGCACTACAACCAACTCGACGCTCGAAAAGACGGAGCGGTGCCACCTGTGTTTACAAACTAGGCTGCCGAGTATGTTTTCCTTCGAGCCCCATCCAGTCGATGCCATTGAGTTCCCGGCAAGCATTCTTTCCGGGTAGGCCAATGTGTGCGCGTTTAGATCCGTGGTAAAGCACCTTCCTTCGATCCGGGAAGGGGTGGGCGGTAAGGAGGCGTGCTCTTTGCTTGTAGTCGTCGTCGTTTTCTGCTCGAAGTGCCCACCCAGCCCGACTATTCAATTGACACCGCGTGGGTCGTCGCCTCCTATGACAGCTACATGTACAGCAGTAGCAGCAGCAGTAGCAGCAGCTACAACGCGCCCCGTTAGGCCCGAGGATATTTCCGTTCCAGCCGGTCTTGAAAATGTCGTCCCCGTCCCCGTCCAATCCCCCCGGTGTTTGCCATTGGGGTTAGATTTTCGTCGCTTGGCAATGACGTTGTAAAACAAGCCGCCGCCCTGGGTTTTTGCCATCGGGGTTGGGTTTTCGTCGCTTGGCAGCGATGTTGTAAAACAAGCCGATCTCTTCGTGAGCTCGGCAACCAGGTTACCGTTTTTTTTTTTTTTTGCGGTAACCATGGATGGTGGTCGAGTAGATTCTGTTGTGCGGGGTCGAGAACCCTCACTCCACGCAAAGGGGATGATCGCACCACGTTGTGTTAAATTGGTTACCCTCGAGGCAGTTACACAGCGCTTACAACTGTCTCTGGAAGTGAAAGCACCAGAAAGTAAATTAAATCATACGCAGCTGTCATCCGTACGCAAGGAAGTGAGCACAAGATGCCGATCACCCTTAGCAGGATGCAGCGCACCCTTAATGCGACTCGCCGAATACCTCACGGCGCTTCGCGCTTGGTGATGTGAGAGCCTGGTCCGGTGAAAACCCGGCGTGCTCTGTCCCGGCTGTGTAGGGATGCGAGGTCAATGGTCTAACGACTACGGCATGCACGGCTATGAGTACAACCCCCCCCCCCCCCCCCCACTCC